ATATCTAGTATTCTTAGTCCCAAGAACGAGGGTTGGTCTGTTCTCTGTGGGGTTCAAAGCATTAAAACACAGTACCTAAAGAGTTACTTGAATACTTTTAGTGGCATATGCAATAAATCTTTTCCAGAAATTCTAGTCGACATTCACTCTTTACTATAGATGAACAAAAACTAACAGTGTCTGTGGCATTGGCTCCAAAGCCTTACCTCCTCACCTGTTAACTTAGTTTATGCTACCACAAATAAACCGATTTCATGGTTACCCATAAAAGATGCAGTGCACTCTGGGTCCTTTGCGTTTATTCTCTGTGCTGTGCTTGCTGGGAATAAGTGCCAGGAATCATCTAGCTCAATCCTGATGGAGCCTAGCATTTGAAACACTCCTTATGGATAAAGTTTTTTTCTTCCACCTCTTAAAAAAGGGAGGGAAAAAAAAAANTTTGTACTTTTAAGACTTAAATACGAGCTTCACATAAAATGTTATCTGATTTTTTTTTTCCCTGTAATTTCAGACTGACCATAGGATCTATTTTGTCTACTAAGGCCAAAAAAACTAAGGCATACACCTTTTTACTAACCCAGCTGTGTCTCTAATACACTAAGGAATAAAACAATATTCTGAAAAAGATAGGATAACACAAATATAAAGAGGTTAAGAGACATTTTGGAGAAATAAGATTTTTTTCAATATCCAAAGCAATGTGAAAAAAAGGCAAGATGAGGTAATGCATTCTGATTTTCAGAATAAAGAAGTTATGAGGCACTAAATATTGTCATTCTAAATCAGATCTATTTATTAGCAGTCTGAAAGATTGTGTGGAGCAAATGTTTCCAAAGGCTCTTTTATTTACTACCAAAAGACACAACATGTGAAGGATCTGACAAAAATGTATATTCAATGTTCATCGCCAACTCCCCCAACACCCAGGGGAAAAAAATATACAAACACACAAACACACACACACACACACACACACACACATGCAGCCGGTATCTAGAACCATTGCCTAACTTAAAAATATTTGTGGACCTCTTATTGATCAATTTCTCATACAGAAAGGAGAAGAGTATAGTATCTGAACTGAAACAGTATTATTAGATACGATATTGTGAGCACTAAGATGTATAATTAATGTTGCTTTCATTTGCTCAGACCATTGTAAAAATCCATAAATCATTTTCTTGTTCATGTATTGCTTAAGTGCGATTTGTCATTTTGTATTAGAGGGCTGCTTCAGCTCATTCAGTGCTTTTAATTCACTGTTTAGAGTTTAACAAAATTCTGGCTCTATTTGATAACTAAAAAGACACTGAAATGTGAAGCCACACCAATAATAGCTAGCTTAAACAAAATGGAGAAGCACATTTCTACTTTGAATATCAAGATAATGGTGCTTAATGGAATATCTAGTATTCTTAGTCCCAAGAACGAGGGTTGGTCTGTTCTCTGTGGGGTTCAAAGCA